GACGACCACGCAGACCTCGGAGTATTATATGCCAGTGGCTTTCTGTTCCAGCTGTAAAAGGATTTTATTCACTTCAGTTTTAGGCACGGAGAGAGAATGCTTTTGTCTGGCTTATGTTGCTGGTCGTTAAGGAAAACGCGTGTGAATACGGCACAGGAGTGGAGGTGCCTGAAAGTGTTTTTACGGCAGGGTTTTGAACGCTGGTTTAAGAAACAACACACAGAGAATACAAATTGAATGAAGCTGAAACTTCATGTGTGGTAGTGTGTGTGTGTGTGTGTGTGTGTGATGTGTGTGTGTGTGTGATGTGTGTGTGTGTATGTGTGTGAGTGTGTGTGTGATGTGTGTGTGTGTGTGTGTGTGTGTGTGTGTGTGTGTGTGTGTGTGTGTGTGTGTGTGTGTGTGTGTGTGTGTATAAGTGTGTGTTTAAGTCTCTTAATACAGGTATATCAATAAAAAAAAAATCTTAATCCGTGCGCAGTATGTAATTCAATTTCAGATAAGGAAAAACTAGACCAAACGGTGAAGATAAACATTTATCTTCTTAACACGAAAAACATTCTGACCTGAGACATATCAAGAAAAACTGATCTTTTCATAGCTATATCACATATATTTAAACCGAATCTTCATGGCAGAAAAACATTAATATAACTCCAGTGCAGATTACAATGAACACGAAATATATCACAAGCTAACCCTTTATTGCCTGTACATAATGGACTTACAAATGATATGAGAACAATGGCATGTCGTACGAACATTTCGAGTGGCTGCCATCTTAAGGACAAGACCATGTGTTAATCGGCTGACAAGATCTGCAAGGGGCAAGCAAAATGCAGACGAGGACTTTGGCTCCACTTTTACTAGGATCTCGCGCCTTATCAGAGCCTCCTGCAAGAACCTGACTGATAAAACCCTCAAAGACCTGAAAGCTGTAGTCTGCAATAGAGAAAAAAAATCTGCAGCTCACATAAGACTGAACAAGATAGTGCGACGTGACCACGAGAATTAGGCTTAAATATAGGCTGTTTTGCCAGGCGAAACACACAGTGTAGAGGGAACTAAGTCTAAGAAACTAAGTGAAGAAAAGAAGCAAAATATTGCACGCTGCATAAAACTCAAAGTTCCTAGCGATACAGCATCCAGACCACCTGTCATGAGGTACAAAGAGCCATGTAGTTATTTTATCTGGTGAATTAGAAGATATATTATGTTCTGTTCTAAATGTGTAATGCAGCGTTGTAGTGCAAAATTCGACTCCTGACGCAATAAAAGCTTAATCCGATTCTTTTCCTTTGCCTCTCTTTCAGTTGCTTGTAAGTCTATTCTGCGTGAGCCTGGCGGCGGCCACGCCATTCGCCCAGGCACCGCAGCCAGGCCAAGAGGGCTACCGGGTGCAGGCGCCCCTGCGAATACCTTCGGAGGTCTTCAGCGCCCCCACAGTGCCCCCACCGCCGCCTCCGACGCCCAGCCAGTTGTATGCCACGCCCCGCCAGCAGGAGCAAGAGCCCGCCGCTGCCCAACAGCCCACTGTTGTTGAAGATGCTCCTCGCGCCGCCGGGCCTCCTGCCCCGCCCCCTGTGAGTTTAGAAAGAGGTCGTTTGAATATGACCTCCTGGTTTATGTGTCTACATTTTATTCATGCAATGATCATCTGATTATTCTCATTTGTGACTAAGGCTGAATCCATTCCTTTCGCAGATGGAAGGCATGCCCTATGAGTTCGAGTGGGACGTGAACGACGTGGAAAACGGCCTAGTCTACAGCCACCAGGAGAGCTCTGACGGCGTCGTGGCCCAGGGCGAGTACCGGGTCCTCCTTCCCGACGGGCGCCTCCAGATAGTCACCTTCGCCGACCGCGGCCAGGGCTATGAGGCCCAGGTCGTCTACCAGGACTATAATGTTTAGGGCTTCCTGCTCATGTGAAATATGTTAGAGGGAGCAGACAAACAGTGGAAGATAAGAGAGAGAGAGAGAGAGAGAGAGAGAGAGACACAGAGAGAGAGAGAGAGAGAGAGAGAGAGAGAGAGAGAGAGAGAGAGAGAGAGAGAGAGAGAGAGAGAGAGAGAGAGAGAGAGAGAGAGAGAGAGAGAGAGAGAGAGAGAGAGGGAGAGAGAGAGAGAGAGAGAGAGAGAGAGAGAGAGAGGGAGAGAGAGAGAGAACTAAATAGAGAAATAAAAGATGAAAGAAGAGTGGTATTCCGAATCGATGTGTGCGGATCGATAATTAGAATCAGAATACATTACTGTGTATACATCACTGGAATCTGTTGTGAGATCCTCTAATAGCGCCAGCAGTGGAATCTTCCTTGTTCATAACATTAAGCACTCTTTGCCTATTTCATGTTGTTGTATTCTACAGGGTTTACATACTGTACTGTCCATCGGGTATGGATATGTGCTTGCTTTTGTTGTTGTTGTTATAAAGTCTATTTTCAGCAAATGTACAGATACAGTTTCGATGTTATCTTTAGCCTTCTGTTGTTGAAAAAGATGGAGTATATCTTTTATCCACATAATATTGCCTTTAATTTTAACCCTAATTTGGCATTAAATACAATTTTCCTTATAATGATTCCGCGACAGAGCATATGCACATAAACTCGTGAATACTCATAATCAGGTGCGCAACATAAATACACATATACACACAGAGATATACACATGTTTATAAATAGGTACAAATTCTTATTACACGACCGTTCATACACACACGAACACGATTACATTACTAAATAAGCTTAGAAACTATCGCTCTACAAATATAAGTAATTACTATGCCAACACTCCACCCTAAAGCAGTCCGACATATTACACATGAAATAACGAATCGAAGATATTGCTGGGAAGTGACAAGGGACAGCATCTCAGGACACTTGCTGAGGACGGCGAAGGTCATATCGTATTAAGGATTTACCGCCTCCGAGCCTGAATCCCAAGCTCTCCCCAAAGGTGACTGCCGTTCACCCAACAGATGGCCAGACTGTCTCAGATCCCAGAGGAGTCAGAGTGCACTAGAGAGAGTATTTTGAGCAGTTGGATCTACGGCCAAGGGGTAGAAAGGCACTCTGCAGTAAGGCTCATCCCTTGGGTATAGAGGTCTCCTGGACCTAAACTAACACCGTGGACTTGGGGGTTTGCCAGATGAGCCTCCCCTTAATATCCTTAATGCTTTCATTAAGGATATCGAAGAAAGGTAGAACTTTGTACATCTTGGTGGTATAAATTATCGCTATGGCCCGTCGGATTCTTCACTGTAACCTTTGTAGCGGACCATGATTTTTTTCTTTAACAATCCTTCAACAAAAACGACAAAAAATTCCGTGTTGGTAAAAAACAACAACACTGCCTTCACTGCCAGAATAGACTATAGATATGTGAAACTACGATATAATGTATAGGTAATTGAAGCCTTGAAATCTGAAAACAATTAAATTCACTTATCTAAATACCCCCCCCCCCCCCACACACACACACACACAAAAAAAAAATAAGTTCGTTTTAGCCTTCAGCAGCACTAACGCTTTTCTGAACTTCTTGAAACAACCAATTAGAGGCAATTCAAACCTATGTTCTAACGCACTGCATTTATTTACCTGTCCTAGCTGTCAAGGTATGCGGAGTCAACCTTATGATGGCTACGTCACCACGTCTTTCTGAGAAGACTGTCTTTCTTGACCATAAGAGAACACTCACGACAACTTTCTCTTTCTTTTCCTAACACGGATTTAGGTATCCTATTTTCCCACTTACTGAACTCCTTGGCCGTACACGAAGGTCTGCTGATTTTGTCCGTTGTATCTGATGTCCATTGTTGAGGTTTAAATGAATATTCGCATGTATATGTATGTATATATTTGTATGTATGGATATATTTACATACACAAACAATTGTGTGTGTATGCATATATACATATATATATATATATATATATATATATATATATATATATATATATATATATATATATATATATATACACACACACATATCTATATACCCGTACGTACATATAAAAATAGACATATTCATATACATGCACACACAAATTGATACACACACACACACACACACACACACACACACACACACACACACACACACACACACACACACACACATATATATATATATATATATATATATATATATGTCTGTGTGTGTGTGTGAACGGAACCGAATCAGGATTCAAAGATATATATGTGTCTATCCTATGGATGATTAAGCCCCAGCCTTGTGAAGCGAGCTGAAGCCTCCCGTGATGCGGGAACAGCGGAAACAAGGGTCCCGTTCACTTCCCTGAACATTTTAATACTGATCCTGGGCCTACAGAATGGTAGCGGGCACTGCTCCAGGAACCTGCTCAGGCTTGACATGTACCCCTAAAAACATAAATAAAAAATAAATAAAGAAAATAAATTGATATTACTTACGAAAAGGAGACTGAAAAAAAGAGAAAAAAAATTCTGAAGATATTCGGCGTATAATACGTCTAAAAGCACTTGAGACTAATTGAAATGAAATAAGATAAAATAAACACAAATATAAAAGGCAACCTCCAGTAAATGATCTGGGCAAGTAACGGAAAATCTCCCCAGTAATACTTTTATTCTGGTAACGTCTCAGGCTGTAATATATTCAGAAAAGGTGACACAAACACAAGTTCACATAGATCTCTTTTCATAGTTCAGTTGTTCCATATATTTTTTTCCTACTCGTTATTATCATTACAATTATAGTTGTTATTATAACTAGCAACGGAATGAATAGGTATGATTACCAGTCTGCATTTGATATCACTGATGTCTATTAGCAAACTATAGCAGAATAATCCAGCGGAATTAATGGACAATATCAATGTATCATTATCATTATCATCTTCATCACCAATTGTCATCAGTTATTAGTATTTTGTATAATCATAAATATTATAATCATTATTATTATTGCATTATCATTTACCATTATTGTCATTATCATGATACTTGTCATCATCACTTTTATGATAATAATTTCAGCATAATAATGATGTGGCATGGCAATAATGTGGAAAGCTAGTAGGTTACATGAAAAATCAGTAGAATAGTTGATTTTAGGACATTTAAGTTAAGCTATAACTCATAAGTTTAGGATGTGATGTGGCATCAAGTGTGAGTTATTTATAATGCAGTTGCCACAATAAACGTATATTTTCTTGTGCATGTAAACAAATGATGAGGCGCGAGAAGTCCTGTGAGTAAGACGGCTGTTCTTCAAGCGTACAATTTGAATCAAGAAAAAGGAAATAAAGTCTGTGGCGCTCCAGATAAGGTCTCACACTAGAATAGCACTTCCCCCTCCTTTTTAAATCAAAAAGTCAACTAATCATTTTCATAAAATGGTAAACTTTTAAAAAATACAATTCAACACAGTCAACCTAAGCAACAGAGTTCTGGGTCCCACTGGCCACACTTGGCGGCCACTCTCTGCGTGTGGTGTCCATGACGTTCACAAGGAACGTCCTGTCTTCAGTCAGTGGTTGCCTATCTGCTCATACAGGTAGCTGTTCCTCTAGCTCACTGTCCATCTTGACTAAATCACCTACATCTCCGTCCTCTGCAATTTGTCCATCGTCCACTGGGGCTGGCTTATCCACCTCATCCTCGCTTGTTCCCCAGGTGATGCTAGGTTCATTCTGGTACTTCCACAGCCAGGCACTGTAGTGTCGCCACATTGACTCTCCTGTTAGCTTCAAATGGTCCCGAGGATCGTCTCCATTCTCTGCTACAGAGCTGCAGCATGCTTTGTGCTGACGGTATGTATACTCTTCATCCAAAAAAAGAAAAAACAATTACGATGTCCACTGCTACTCTTTCCATGGAAACTCCAACCTCTGCATAGGCACCTTCCCCCATCTGGTTGGACCTCTTCTGACATTACAAGCATCACATGTACAGCACCACTTTTCTACGTTATGCTGTATGTTGACCACAGCTTGCTCAGGGTCTTCTTTCTTCTCAGGTGTCCACCTGTGGATCCTGCTGAGCCTCTTGCAGATGTAAAACATCCAAGTCCTCCTCGCTCATCTGTGTCCTCTTGACTTGATGGTTTCCTTGTACCTTCAGTGCTTGTAATTTCTATGAACACTTACTGGACGATGCTCCACTTGGTAGTGGTATTCTTCCAACCTTCCAAGCCATCGTGCCACCTGCCTCCTCAGCCACTTCAGTGCTGTATGGTCCACGCACACAAGATATTGTGCATCATACAGGTAGGGATGAAAGTGCAAGAAATACTTCACAATGGCCATCAATTCCTTCCGCATGACACAGTAGTTCCACTCGTTCAGCATGAACTTACTACTTTAATAAACCACAACGCGTACCTGGCTAACGTTCACCTGTGAGAGCACTGCACTCACTGCCTTATTGCCGGTGTCGTAATCCAGGAGGTATGGGCACCCAGGATCCAGAAATTTCCTTACTGGCGATACAGAACTACAGAAGCCGACAAAGCTCCTTAACTCTTCTAGATTCCTAGGCACCATCCCTCCACACTGCCCTCACCTTTTCAGGGTCGGTTCTGACTCTCTCGCTAGACACTACATACCCTAGGGATAGTATCTCCTTCCTGAAGAGAATGCACTTCTTGGGATTAATCTTCATATTAGCTTGCTTCATATGCTACAGCAGAGACTCCAGCTTCATCTCCTCCTCGAAGCTGCTCCCCGGAACAATGATGTCATCTAAATATATGAGCAATGTCCCTTGCATCTCACTCAATACATGCTCCAACTACCTCTGAAAGGTGGCAGGAGCATTGAACAGTCTGAAGGGCATCACTCAGAACTGCCATAAACCTCGCCCAAATGATAAGGCCATCTTCTTGTCTTCCTCTGTTTAATGATCTGGAAGATGGTGCTCCACACATCCGATCCTGGCTAAGTAAAGGCTACACCTTCCTGACACAGTCCTCCTGAGTCTACCTTATCATAGGAAACAACCACTTTGTACCTTCCACTCCTGAGCCTGGTTTACCCCAGGACCTTCCAGGTTACCTTCATCTCCCCCTCAAGCAAGCACTGCAACTCACCCCCCTTATTAATTCACCCCCTTGTCATAAATCTGACACTCCTGTGTGCAGAAGCAAGCACCGCCCAAGAAGTAACTGATGAATAAAAGGGGGACATGCTCCATACCTCGGCATCCACTCACCTTGAAGTTGAATAAAGGCAAAAGACAAGGCCACTTTCATTAAGCCATCTCTTGTGTCGTTCACACTTTGCCATATCCACCTGATGGTAACCAGACCAGGTCATTAGCAGTGAATACCTTGCTGAATTGACATGTAAACATATTTAAAACATTAAATATCTATCAATAAATGTCATAAATAACAGTGGATATTATAGTAAAAATCAAAGTATAAACATTATGCTCTAAATGTATAAAATTATTGCATATTAAGCATAATTGAATTTTATTAAAAATATTAGTCTCCCTTAAGAAATTAATAAGA